ATTATTATATTTAAAGGATATTCTAAAGAAAATTTTGGATATATTTATAGACAAACAGCAGGATCAGCTACAAATTCTGTTGCTTATTATTTATATCAATCTATAAATCAAAATGAAGTATTAAAAATAGATAATTTAACAGGAGATTTAAGAATTATAAAAAGATAATTGAATTATTGTTTTTTATTCATATAGTCATTATCTTTAGCACATAAATAAATAATTAAATATTTTGTTAATCCTTTTTCATCATCTATATCTGGTTTAAGTTTTCCACCTGACCATGTAATATTTTGTTTAGATACAGAAAATTTACCATTTCTTCCATTTTCATATCTTTTATCAACACAACATACCCATATTGAACTTACACAATCAGGAATTACTTTTGCTTTTATTAAATGAGCTAAAGCACTTGCTCCTTCTTTTCCATTAAATAATGTTTGTTGAATAATTTGATTTTTAGTCATTCCTAGAATAAAGAATGAATGAAATGAAAATCTCCTTTGTGTTTTTTCATATTTTGATGATTTTTGTTTTCTTCTTCCATCATTTAATGATTTACTAAATCCGTTATTATTTGAAATATCATCACGTAAACCAGCAAGACGTATATATTGTTTTCCACCAATTTGAGTAGCTTGTTTATATTCATTTTCAATATTAAATGTTTTACTTCCAGTTTTTGATTTAGCATTTTTAACAATAATTGAACGTTGAATTGATAAAATTAGATTATCACATATAGACAGATGAAAGAAGCTCACAACGAATATTTTGAAGGTATAGTATTTTCTTTGTAAAGTATTTTTATATCGTTCTATATTTATTTTTTCTGTTATTTTTTGATTTGAATTTCTTAAAATAAAAAATACAATTCTATTTATAGATTTTCGATTAAAAAAAACAAAAATATATAAAAACAAATGAATTTTTTCATATATTGTTATTGTTTCTTCTTGGTTTACTCTTTTATTTGTATTCCTCAAACTCTTTCTTTGTTTTGTCTTTTTTAGTTATTTATTTGAAGCTTATGCTGAAATTCATAACATTGAAAATGCAATGAACGTTATAAATATTTTTATCTTCTTTCATTTTTATTCTCAATTTGCTACTTTTATTCGTTCATCCTCTTCTAATTCCTACTTTCACTTTTTCTTTCATACTTCTTTTCATTTTTCTTCCTTTTTTTCGTAGTCACAAGTTCAATAAAATAACTACAAAATGGTGAAACATTTAAAAGAATATGATTCAAATAATATAAACAAAGAAGATACATAATTGAGAGTAATAAAAAGATAAAAAGAAATAAAAAAGATAAAATAAAAACCAAAGAAGAACTGAAAGAAATAATTAAAGGAGTAATCACAAAAGATAATTCTGAAAATAAATACTTTTATTTTTATTCTATTATTTAATTTTTGTTATTCTTTTTAATTGTGTTGTTTATCTATATCTCATTCATAAACACTTTTCATATAACTGATCATTCCTTTTAATTTTCATTATCTTTTTTCTTTGTTATTATTCTTTTAACTCATTTATTTAGTTTATTTATTTCATATTTATCTTTATCTTATTCATTGTTTTCTTATTTTTATAGATTTATTCTATAATTCATTATTATTTATCTTCTTCTATTAACTCTTTCTCTTATATTCTTATTTATTCTATTTCTCTTCAATTTATTCTTTCTTTTTATTTTATTCTTGGATTTACATTTTGTTTTTATTTTAATATTTATTATTCTTTCTTTTACTTTTTTCTTTTGTTTATATACAAAATTCATCATTGATAATTTTAACACATCTTTCATAACTACTTGTTTTCATCTCAACTACTGTTGATCACTTTAATTTCTAAAGTCTATCATTCTTTTATCATAATTATATATTTCTTGATTTATTTTTTCTTTCAACAACTCACTTCGATATCAATAATTTGTATATCTTTATTATGTCTGTTCATTGTATTGCAAAGTAAATAGAAATGTTTATACATAATAACCAAACAATAAGAAATTAATTCTTGATAATCTTAAAAAAAAATCCCAATACATTAAATATAAAATGAAACAAACAAAGAATAAATCTAAGAAATACGAGAGAATGATAATAAAATGATTGAAATTAGTTTAATGAAGACAATAAAATAATAAACAGAAACAAAGATAACAAGAAATGAACAATGAATAGAAATACAAATATTAATTTAATTGAATCATATTGGAAACAAGTTATATTGTAATCAGTACAATACCATTAATAAATGATTTGACAACAATTCTTTATAAACGCTATTCATTGTTTATTATCTCTTCTTTTATTTACCGTATATTCAATTAAACTTATTAGAATAGAATATTTATTATTTAATATCTTATTTTATTATCTGAAATCATTATAAATTTATTAATTCTATAAAACTAATTGATATTATTAATAAATAATGTTGAAATGTTATTTAATAAAGATATAATATAAAAACATCAAACAAATAATAAAATGAAAGTATTAATAATTTGATATTGTTCATATTAATTTTATTAATTATATTATATTCATGATAATTGTATAACTATTAGTAATTGAATAATTTAATGAATTAAATGATTCAATATAAAATATTAACAATAACTATTAAGTATTTGATTAACATATCATAACTAATGATTGTATTTTTATTCATATATATTTTATCAGTATTTAGAATATCATATTTAATAAAATTAAAATAAAATTAACATATTTTTAAATTCATTTTATAATGATAATGATTAGAATTAATTCTATGTTTAATACATTTTATATTTATATCTATTTATTATTTAATTTTATTATATATTTTATTATTTATTTATATTCAATATGATGAATATCAATTAATTATAATAACTATTATATGATTAAATCATTATTTATTTTAATAATTAATTTATGTATTATTGTATCATCATAATTCAATGATAATAACTAATAAAGTTAATAGAAATATATTAAATAATAGATTTTATAAATATTCTTATTATTATTTCAATAATATAATATATTAGTTATAATGAATGTATTTGAATATTATTAATCATTTTTAATAATTCTTTTGATAATGAATATACTTTATTCTTTATTATATTATTATATTTGATAATTGTAATTATTCTCTAATTAATTTTTCATCATTATGAATTAATATAATAATTAATATTTCAATCAATAAAATGATTAAATTTATTTCTATTAAATAATAAATAATTTAGTATTTATTATTGTATAATTTCAGAAACATTTCTTTATTTTAATTTTATCTCTTTTAATTCTCTTTTCATTTCAATCAAACATTGATACACAAAGTTAACAGAACTATCAGAAAATATTGAAATAACAAAATACATGATTCAATAAGTTCTAATAGTTAATATTTGTATTCAATTTATATTTTATATTTTTATAACATTTTCATTTTTTGTGTTTTGGTTATTCTAAAAATAAATTATTCTATTTTTGGAAAATATGATTGAAATAAAGTATAAATCAATGATGTTTAGAAATAAACATTATTTCTGTTTGTCATAACAGTGAAAATGAACTTATAATATTCATTTAATGACACAACAAGAAGAACTCTCAACTTCAATTGGAATTGATTTAGGACTTACATATTCTTCAGTTGCTTATTATGACATTGTTAGAAATGAACCTATCATACCTCAAGATGAAATAGGAAAAGAACAAATAGCATCATGTGTTAGTCTTTCACAACTAAATAATAGTGGATTTGCTATTGTAGGAAATTGGGCTAAATATGACATTAATAATAGATGTCTTATCTATGATAATAAGAAAATAATAGGAAGAAATGAAGATGATGTTAGTTATGAAGATTATCCATTTGAAGTAAAATGCAGAGATGATGGAAGTGCTTATATTGAATGTTATAATCCAAAGACTCAAGAAAGTGAAGAATTTGAACCAGAAGAAATTAGTGGAATGATATTAAAATATTTATATGAAATTGCACAAGCAAAACTTGGTAATCAACCAATATCAAATGTTGTTGTTACTGTTCCAGTTTATTTTAATGATAAACAAAGAGAAGCAACATTATTAGCATGTAAATTAGCAGGAATTAAGAATGTCTCACTTGCTAATGAACCAACAGCAGCTATTGCTGGATATAAAAGAGAACATCCAAATTCATTAAAAAATGGAGACAAAATTGTAGTAATTGATTTTGGAGGAGCACTAGATGTAACATGTTGTAAAATAGTAAATGATAATATTATTGTAGAATCATCTGGAGGAAATCAAAATTTAGGAGGAAATGATTTTGATAATGTAATGATTGATATTATTAAAGAAAGAATAGAAGAAAGTATTCCAGGATATTATGAAAAGAAACAAGGAATGACTCAAAAAGAAAAGATAGCACTCAACAAGAAATTAGTTAGATTAAAGAAAGAATCAGAAAAAATTAAAATTGTATTAAGTGGTAAGACTGATGCTGAACTAGATTTAGAAACTTTGTTATCTAATGATTATGATGATGAATATGATATTTATCCTATTATTAAGAGA